GAATGCTAAAAAATCTGCATATGATGCTCCGGGAGAATGGTACACCACACACATTATGTATACAGTATTATTTACAACAACCCTGATAGCCACAAACCAAACATTCATAAAAATAATATCTTTCAAAATTAGTTCAAATTTCAATTCACTTTTGATATATATGGCAACTCCTCCCGTATGTCTGCTGGATGAATTACAAAGTACTAACTCATATCCATTTATATTAATTTCATGAAGAGCAATATCATCCGTAATATGAGTTTCTGATAAACATACTAACAAAGGTTTATGCAACGAGATACAGTGCAACAAATTATCCAAGTTTTTTATAATTATTTTTTTATACATTAGTATAGAAAATGTGCCAACTATGCTTATTTTTATTTTTATCCTCAATTTGAGCATTTACATCCACATTTGCAACCCCATTATAATTAATATTTTCGACTATCTTAATAGATAATTCATTTTTTGTTAAACATTTACCCTTATCATTATTTACATCTATAAAATTAACGAAATTTTGTGTACACTTATTCAACTTATATAGATATGCATTCAGTTTGTAATTTAATTTGTAAATTAATTTGTTATACTCATTACTCATACAGTAAGGAACTGATATAACATGCAAATTTGTATGTAGACAGCTTTTGAGCTTATCATTTAATTTTCTGAAAAGTGGATATTGTTTATTTCTAAAATCATTTGATCCTCCTAAAATAATAATAGAATCATGTAATGTGAAATCTTTTGCTAAATGGGGTAAGTTTTCGATAATGCTGTTCAGGCAAGCAAAAGGTTTAATAATTGACAAAACATTATGATTTTCAAGTTGGCAATTTAACATTTCACCTAACTTATGACTACATTGATCACATAAGAGCAATAATTTAACAGAATTGCTATATTTGACTGAATTTTCATTTTGATTAATTCTGCACATTCTATTTGTTTGTTCAACTTCATTTTTATGTGTAATTTTTTCTGTTACTTCTTGCCCATGATTGGCCTGATTCAATTGGAAAACTCCCAATTCATTTTGTAGTTTTCTCAGTTCCTTACTATAGTCATTGTTTTCGTCTTCTAACATTTTTATAGACTGTACCATACTACGACTAACTTGATCTGATTCCTTAATTCTAATTTCTAACTCTAATACTGTTTGATTTTTGTCAACAAATTCTTCCTCATATAATCTAATGTTTTCACGTAATTTAATAACCTCTTTATTTAATTGAGAAATGATTTCACGTTGATCCTTCAGTTTTTGAGCATCTTTATTCTCCATTTCAAACACATCATTTTCGAAGTCTTGAGTTCTTTCATTCAGCCGCTTAATATATTTGTCTTTTTCCCCAATATCTTTATACATTTTATCAACAGTTTGTTGCATTTCATCAATTTTTTCATTATACTCGACAGTTAGATTCTCTAATTCAATGTCCTTATTGTGAATCACAAGTTTTAATTTTGAAATTTCTTCATGAAAATAGTTTGTTCTAGTTGTAGCGTCTTTGTCTTTTTTGTTTTCAATTTTCGGAACAATAGATTTTATGACCTTCTAGAAGTTTATGGCACTTTTTCCTTTCCACACAAGAAGGATGAAAAATGTCCAAGCATAATACACATATTAGATTTGTAAACTCTTTCAATTGAACACCGTCTGTACTTTTTATCCTTCACTCCTTCACGTTTTGCCTTTATCCAGTTCACTTTTTGAACACAGGCAAAAAAGCTACGTGGGTAAAAAGTCGATCCACTCCTGATTTCACTGAATTTCCACTTACTTACTTGGCTATTATGTCACTGTGCTTGCTTATATCTTAATGTAAACCACACCTTATGATGGCGGACACTTTGCACAACACAACAATATGACTTTTATTATTTCAGCACTAGCAAT